CTCACACAGGTCAGGCTCTGGTCGAAATCCTCAGGACAAGTGGGACAAGGTTGTGGGAAGCCCATGGACCAAGTCTCTCTGCTGGAGCTCCGAGCCTCAGGGGCTGCCAACGCTTTCCACACGTTTCTATCATCTACGGCATCACCCCCACCCTCAGCCATCCAGAGGCCCTGAAAGGACTGCGGGGACACACGTCTACGCATGGTGGGGGCCATGCATGTAAGCCCCAGGCCTCCCCCTCCCACCCCATGACCTGCTGGCCCCCATCTGCCACTGTCCTTCCAGGCCACAGTGCCCCTCGGGCAGGAGGACCAGGATGCAGAGTGCCAGTGGCTGACGGAGGGCTCCAGGCCAGGGCTGCTGGTAGGGTCTACTGGGGTGGGGGAGGACCCTGATGTCACTCTCAGCCCCTCACCGCAGGCTTCGGTCATGGGTAGAAAGTTCCAGACTAACCCTTCCAGGTTTCCACAAATCACTGCGTCTCGGTCTGTGCCCACCCAAACTGTACACGGCGTGGGGCTCTTCTTTGATAGCACACGCCTAGCAAGTCAGCCAGGCTTCTCTTCACGAAGGCCACTGCATCTCTACCTTGCAGCTGGAACGTTCACAGAAAGTACCCAGCGAACCATCCCTCGGTGGAAGACTGCAGTGACAAGAACATTCCCCTGCAGCGACGGGAACCATGGTGCTCCTCCCGGGACACACGGCTGAACGTGTCACCAGCCACCGTGAGAACCAACCCGGCATCGCCAAGCATGGATCATTTCTGCCTGCAGATGGAAAGTGCAAATTCACCCAGGACTGGCATTAACCCGCTCTGTGAGGGTGGTAAGAAATTGCGGCCAGTCTGGGGTCCCCTTGCCCCATCCTCCCGATTTCCCCCCACTTCCTGCCATCACCGGTGATCAAGTAAGGAAGCTGCCATCAACGGAGAAGCACCGCGTGGACCCTTCAGTTTCACGCGAGGGCACCAGCTCTGCCCACACGCCTCACCTTTATGGAGCATCAACTCCTGCTGGGAAAGCACTCCCAGGTGGCGGCGACAAGGGTTCGCGCTTGACTGCTGACCGGAAGACTGGCGGTTCAAACCCACCTAGCAGTGTTGCAAAAGGGAAGTCCTGGTAATGTGTTTCTGTAAGAATTATAGCCAAGGCACCCGACTGAGCAACCCTCTGGGGGCGTGGCGCTCGGTCCTGTAAACTCTCTAGGAGCCGGAATGGACTCAACACAAATGGCACACAGGCAATAGGATAGGAAAAGACAGAGAAGCCTATGGGGCAGTGCTACTCTGTAAAACGTCGGGTTGCCACGAGTCAGAAACTACCCAAGGGCAACTCCCACCAACAACTTCTGAGCGAAGCTTCACAGTAAAGTAAAGCGATACGGTGCTTCCCAGCCTCCACACACAGCCCGGGCGCACAGGGTCCCCGTACGGCCTTCTCCACGTAACATTCTGAGCCGGCATGACACCTGAAGAAAAATCATGCTGGTATTTGAAAGACTGATTTAAAGAAAGACAGAAATAGAATGACTTGCCAATGTCATTCTAATGTTCAACGCTGTGTCCGACTGTGGGGTTTTGCGTGTTTTTGTTATTGTGCAGGGCAGTGAGCATAATGCGTTGCACAGATAAGGTCACTAAGACTCAGAGCTGGATCCAAGCTCACGTGGCCAGCAGACAGTGGAAGGGGGCCAGGCTCTGCCTCCTGCGGGGTTTTTTGTTTTTGTTTTCTTTCTTCTTACTCAGCTTAGGTAGTTATTAATGATTCAGATCTCGAAAACTGTGTCATGTAAGAATACTCTTTAAGCGTTCCCAATCCCTTTTTAGGACTACAGGAACGATGAATAATATCTCTTGTTCTGGAACATTTTCCACCACATTGTAATGAACAAGAAACTCAGTGTTCGCCTCTCAGCCAAAGCAGGGACTGAATCGGGAATGCCGTGTGCAGCGTATGGTGATCTAAACACAAAAGGAAAAGGAAAAACTCCCAACTGCGGGCTACCCTCTCCCCCAGGCACCCTCCCACAGCCTACACTGAACACTTACTTGGATGCGGCCAAGACCGGCACCTTCCCAGGACTGCCCGGGTGCCGACCCGTGCCTGAACATGTGCCGTGAGACAGCCGGGAAGCCTGAGAGGCCCTTCCTAAGCCAAGGCAAACATCTGAGCTTTGGTTTGAAAAATGAAAGGCTACTCGGGTGAGCAAACACATCCCTGGCTTTCCAACCATTGGACAGCTGGTCCAGAGGACAGAGCTCAAACGACGATGATGTCTAAGCGCAAGTTGACGGCACAAACAGAGATCCGAGATGGAGCTGGGTGTCCGGGCCAGGGTCAGTGACAAACATCAGACAACAGGAAGAGAGGTGACAGTGAAGAAAAAGAGAACTCCAGATGAGTCCCTGGGTGGCCCCAACAGCTTGAGCACCAGCTGAAAGGCTTGTGTCTGAATGCACCCAGCGGGGCCTCGGAGACAAACCTGGCCTGGCCCTCTGCTTCAGGAAAGGTTACTGAGCACTTCCAGGACTCAGCGGTAACTAACAAGCACCAACGAGATACCATTCCCTCCCTCCTTCCGGAACACACAGCTTGGGGGCATTACCCACGGCACTGATTCATGAACGAGCTCTGGTGGTGCGGTGGTTAAAGCACTCGGCGGCAAACCGAAAGGCTGGCAGTTCTAATCCACCAGCAGAAAGATGAGGCAGCCTGGTTCTGAAAAGATCACCGCCTTGGCAAGCTGATGGGGCCGTTCTTCTCTGGCCTGTAGGGTCCCCATGAGCTGAAATGAACTTGACCGCGGTGGGCTCTGCTTTGTCGTCATTGTTAGCTGCCACGGAGTCACTGCTGACTCTTAGCGACCCTACATACAACAAAACAAACCCCTCCCAGTGCCGTGCCCTCCTCACGACCATGGCTCTGCTGGGCCCATCAGGGCAGCCACTGTGGCGGTCCATCTCGTCAGGTTCTTCCTCCTTTGCACTGACCCCCTATTTCACCAGCACACGTCCTTCTCTGGGGACTGGCCTGCCTGCTCACGTGTGAAGTTGTGCTACTGATTAACTCCCGCTCCCCACCGTGCCGGGGTGAGCCCCAAGAGCTGGCCGGGCAGCAGGGCTGCCCCCTGAACAGGGCCTGCCGGAACACCACTGGAAGGGCATCATGTCCCACTTCCAAAGATTTTGGCCTCCAGGGAATTACGCAGTGAATGATGAGAGAAGTGACAGGGTTACCAGTGCGTCCCTCCCCTCCATCACCCCAAAGAGGGTGAGTCTGGACGCGGGGCCTCTTCCACAGCCCCCCTGCTGCAGCCGGAGGGAAGCATTTCCCAAGAGGAGGGAATGTCAATTGACAGTACTTGACATCTTTCTGCTGCCTGCCCACTGCCATTTGTCATTGAAAACAATGCTGCTGTCATCCCCAAGATGCCCTTTTGACAAGTGGACTTGGTTTTCTCCTAACTAGTGATAAAAGGTCGTACCAATCCAAGCCAGTCCTGTGCAGGGCCCCGGTCCAGAGGCGGCCCCCCTCCCAGCAGACCTGGAGAGGCAGGGCCGTGGGAGGGGCTGCAGCAGGGGAGGGCAGCCAGCGCCAAGGGCAGGGAGGCCCCCAAGCCACACCCAGTGCCAGGGGCTCCCGGAGTTTGAGATGCTGCTAGGCTGGAACTCCATGACCCGGGCAGTCACTCAGCGGAGCCCTGGGTCCCCTCCCCACTCACCCGGAAACCCTCAACCCAGCACCCTGAGAACTCTCGGACCACCTAGGCCAAGCTGCAGGAGCCCTTCAGGTCCCTGAACTCGCCCCAGTTAGCTCAGGCTCATCGGGAACCGGTGCACTGCAAGGGAATGGATTGAAGGAAAGCCCTTGCCTTCCCCAGGGCATGGCCCACCAGGTGGGAGTCGGATGTCTGACCAAGAAAAGTGATCAAAGCAGGGGAGTTGGCTCTATGGTCGGAGGCGCAGGAGGCGCCAGGACGCTGCGCCTGGCCCGGCTCCCGCCCTGAGTGTCGCAAGGACCCCACCCGAGCCGCGATTCTCCTCCCCCAAGACCCCAACACCAGGGCCCTCTCCCGGCGCCGGCCTCCAACGTGCCGCCCTCGGACCCCGCGCCCCAATCCCGAGTCTCGCTGCTCCCCAGCTCCACGCACCAATCTCGGGTCCTGCCGCGCCCAACCCTGCGCCCCAATTCCGCGTCCCGCCGCACCCAGACCCCGCACAGGCGCGACAGCCGGGCTCCGGCCGCGGCGGGGACGCAGCGCCCGCAGTGCGACGGGCGCAGCAGCCCAGGCGCCAAGCGCGCTAGTCGGACCCAGACCTCGCGGCGCGAGGAGGGGCACCCGCGCCAGGTGGACAGCGGCATCTCCGGCCGCCCTGCGGCTGCGGGCCCCGGGCCACTCACCCCACCGCGTGGCCAGGGGATCCCCCCAGACTCGAGGAGACGCGCACCCGGACGAAGACGAAGATAGAGCTCGGTCCTGGCTCGGGAAGGGAGGCTCGCACAGTGGTCTGGGCATGTGCTCAGGACACGGGGAGAAAGGGGCCCGGCCCAGGGAGGGGTGGGGGCCCCTTCCAGAACCTGGAGAAGTGCGGCGGGATCCAGGGGAAGTGGGGAGGGGTCTGTCCCGAGATGCGGAGAGAGGGTTGGGGGTCGGTCCCGGGTCCAGGATAGTTGGGGGGCAGGGGAGGAAGGAAGGGGTCCGTCTCCGGGGCTGGAAGGAGGAACAGCAAGGTCCTCCCCGGACCCAGGAGAACACCACAGCGCCAGGGACCAGAGGGCGCAAGGAGGGGTCCAGGGCGCAGGGCGCACGGAGGGGCCACTGCGGGTACAGGAGGGCGAGTGGGGCCGAAGCCGCCCCGGGCGCAGGGACACCAGGGACGGTCCGAGGCGCGCAGCGGCGCACCGGGTGCTGGCGGATGAGGGCACCGGTGGGTCCCGGCGCGGGCTCTGGGCCGTGAGGGTCGGGACCGCGCGGTGGGGCGCCGGCCGGGCACTCACCTTGGGTTTGTACAGCCACTTTCGGAACCTGTGCATCATCGCCGCGCTAGCCCCGGCCCGGCTGCGGGCGCCCTCCCCAGGCGGCGACGCC